TAAAGAAAAGCTTGTCGGGGTTGGTAGTGGGTCATCATCGGACCGCCGATGACACCCGATCGCCGTCCCGGAACCGCCCCTGACTAAGGATCATAAAGATGACAAGACGATCGGACCTGTTTGATTCCGCTTCCCAGAAGGAATTTGGTGGAAGCTGTCAAATATTTGCATCTTTTCCTGTGGGAAGCTCTGTTCATTTGGCGTTGTCACCCGTCTCTTCGAATTCAGTCTTACAATCCTCCGGATCGTGAAGAACACCTGTGTGGGGCTGTTAGGGTTGGCGGCTAAACCTCACCATCGTCAATTGGCCTGCATGGCATCGACGAACACACTGCTTGCTGTCCCCGTTCATCCGATCATTAGATGACACACAAGATGCAGTTTGTTGGACAAAAAATGCTAACAAGCTTCGTCTCGTCAATCCCGCGTCTATGCAGGTGACTGGGGCACCTGACAACTGTACTGACAACTGTGGCGGAGAGCTGTGGCACGGGCTATCCTCTTATCTCCGACAAAGTCCGAAATATCCATACTTTCGCTTACCCAGGCGTCGGTCGACTGTGCTCCGACAGTCGAGGAGTCCTGAGGGGTAGCATCACGTGTTGTGGCTTGATCACGATCATCAGTGGGCCGAGACATTGTGGAGGCATGAACATCGGCATACATGATCTAGGAGTATTACCGGGAACTATGAGACCTTGAATTGCCTTGCGACTGGCAGCACGTAAATTTTGCGTTGTGCAGGGTCTTTTATCTTGGTGGCTGCGTGAACATGCACAACAATGCAACCATCAGGTCCATCTCAGCCAAAATGCCCGACCACCGTGACAGTCCGGGCTTGTGTCAACTGTCAAAAGAGAAAGAGCCGGTGTATGAGAGGCAGCGCTCCGAATGACCCTTGTTCTTATTGCTCCAAGACCGGAAAGACATGCAGCTTCGAGAGCCCACCCGATCGGACCCCTCTGACCCGGAAGAACCTGGACGCAGCGGAACTTCGGTGCACACAGCTCCAGAATCTGCTGCAATCGCTTAACCCGGATCTCGATATCGAATCGGCATTGAATCAACCCGGAAATCAACGGCTGGAAAATGACGATAGCTCCAACACTCCGGAAGAATCCGATGAAGTAACCCCGCACAGCTACGAATGGCACGAGGGATCTCTGTCGCCAGAATACAAGTCTTCAACCCATGATAACGATGGCATGGCTATGCTTTCTAGTCACGACTCTGGATACCTCGGTACGGAGAACAACTGAAAGTCGATTTACCGATCATCCTCAATGCTGATCGAAATCTTGCGTAACAGGAAGCAGTTCTGGGTCACAACTACTAGGCGAAATTGACTCAGTCATACACGTATCGAGCACGCCGAGGCCCAACTTACCGACATCACGTAAACGTCGCAGGCAATCATCAAGTTCCGCCGGACTCCCACCTGCGGAACCTTTAGACCTACCAGTATCATACGTCGCAAGCCGCTTAATAGACGCCTACTTCCTTCTCTACAACAACTGCTACCCAATCTTACACGAGAAGACCTTCAGAGAACGCGTGAACGCGGGACACCGACAACGCCTTATTCAATCACCATGGCGCGTCGTGTATCATATGGTGCTCGCCATAGGACATTGGCTATCGAGTACTGAAACGGAGCACCTGCAATCCGGACATTACAGTGCAGCGAGATCAAACTTGTCGCTTCAAATGCTGGAGTCTGGCACAATCGAGACCGTGCAGGCCTTTCTGCTTATGGGAAATTACCTGCAGAAAAGAGACCGAACCAACACCGGCTACAACTTCATTGGGTTGGCGTATCGAATGGCGTTGGGGCTGGGCCTGCATCGTGAACCTCCGGGACCCGAAGACACCCTCGGCCACGAGCGCCGGAGGCAGTTGTTCTGGACAGTATACTGCTTCGAGAGCGGCTTCAACATTACAACGGGACGGCCACCGACGATGTCGGATGACTTCATTGATACTCGAATTCCACGCAACATTGATGACAAGGTAAGAGTTGGTGATATTGCTTCAAGTATTACCCCACATGCTCATGGTTAAACCCAATAGGAGCTGTCTTTCAAGGCACCCGTACCACCTCCAGTCGACTACCCGACTACATATTCAGCGGTAATATGCCAAGCTCAACTGGCAAAGATTGCCGATGCTGTTTACCACGAATTCCTCCTAGCAAAAACCGCAAGTACGAAGGTCGAGTACCGTGTGGCAGAGACCATGGATCGGGATCTCAATCGCTGGCGACAGAATCTACCTGGATACTTCCTCACGACGGACTGCCCGAATTGGTTTAGGGCACCAAGATCTGTTGTTCTCTGGAAAGAACAAAATCTCCGCATTCTTCTCTGGCGCGGCAGCCAAAAATACCACAGCTATCTTCCAACCAAGAACAACGCAGAAGAAAAGTGCCTTGAAGTTGCCATGCAAAGCATCCACGACATCGCCACATTCTGCATGACCAACGAAGCCAGTCTACACCAGGGCCTCATCTGGTACGCGACGTACTTCTTATTCCAGGCTACATTGGTCCTGGAAGCCAATTATCTAACCGAAACCAGCCGGCCCGAAGAGGACAGACTCGCATGGCAGCATTCCGTGTCAAAGGCGCGCGCTTGTCTCAAGACTCTGGAGCAGAAGAGCAGATCAGCGAAGCGCTGCTTAGAGATGTTGGATCGCATCCACAGCCAGTTTCAGTTTCTACCGCAGCTTGATTTGGAGCTGGATCCAACTTCCTTCCAGGTGTCTAACCTGGGCCAAGATATCACGGCAGCTTACCCCGAGAGCAGTATCATACCGCCATCTCACGACTTTATGGAGCTGCCGAGCGAGAACGACTTTGCATTCTACGGTGAAAGTCAACCTGTATTTGGCGATGACACAGCGGACCCGAGTCTCCGTATGTTGCTGAACGAAGCATCGCTTGACTTTATGGACAACATGCCGCTAGACCTCCTATTGGGTGACTGGACTTCATGAATGGAGTTGCCTGAAAAAGCCATTGAAGCAAAGTCAGAAACAAAGCCGTTGCAGCAATGCAACTTATCTTCATGTAGCGGTGGTATAGCACCGGAAAAGAAAAATTAGAGAGAATAGCGGCTGAAATATCAGATATCTTCACTGAGATTCGCCACCGGCTCATCTACGCACCTTCATTCTAACTTCTATTTGATATTCCCTATTCAAGTCTATTTGCACCTATTCTCATGCAGCCTTCTTAGGGCAAAACGTAACCTCCGTCAATGATAACATCGCTACCTGTCATGTACGTGGACGCGTCACTAGCCAAGTACAGATACAGGCCCTTGATCTCCTTCGTGTGGCCCTGTCTTCCCAAAGCCGCCATGCGGTACGCTTCTTGCAGCGCCAACGGACCAGCGCCCATCTTAGTGTCGAAGAAACCCGGGGAGACAATGTTGACCCTCGCAAACTCGCGCCATTCGCGGGCAAGAGACTTTCCGAAATGCGTCACGTACGCCTTGGTAGCGTTGTACACGGGCTGGTCGACGGGCACGTTGACGATGTGACCACTCATACTGGATGTGATGATGAGGTTGCCGAAGCCCTGGCGGTGGAAGACTTCACCAGCATACTTTGAGCAGTACACGATTCCGTCAACTACAAGATATTAAGATTCGGTCTAAAGGGAAACTCGATGGAGATATTTGCAGCAACCTACCGTTGACAGACATCTGTTTCCTGTACTCATCGAGAGTCTGTTCGAGGATAGGCTTGGAGATAGCCATTCCTAACACGGTGTAAGTTTTCTTCCCACGCTGAGATATTATCTCTGCATCAATTGGCAACTCACCAGCGTTTGCGATGAAAACATCAATCTTGCCAAAGTCTTGCAGAACCTTGGCGATAGTCTCTTGGACCTGGTTGGAATCCGAAACTGAGATGCACAGTTAGTAACAGGGTCTCTAGTTCTAGTTTTGTCAGGTCTGCTTACCGTCGACCTTGTATGCTGATGTCTTCACATTATGTGTGCTCGCGAGATCTTTCGACTTCTGAATCGCCGCATCATTTCTATGAATAGTTTAACGCCCTGATTCCGGTTGATCAAGTTGCCCGAAAACTTACGAGTTGTACCACAACGCAACATTGCCTCCGGCTTCAGCCATCGCCTCGGAAACTGCATACCCAATACCATCCGCGGCACCGGTCACGACAATTACCTTGCCAGTAACTTTGAGCTGTTCCAGAACGTTGGAGGGTGTGTTGGGGAAAGGCCTGGGGAAGCCCTCGCGGGTCTTCTGGCAGTCATCGTTGGACATAGACATGTTGACGTTGGTTGTGATATGACTTGGCTTGAGTTACTGTGACAGAAAGCCCTACAATGTTCGTCAAATTCATGAAAGTTCGTTGCTTTAATGAGACAGCTGGATTGAGACGTGGCATCGGCCGCTCCGCTCCGCGTCGGTGTGCTGTCGTCCGAGAGGGGAGTCTTGGTGGGGGCGGGGCAGGTACCCAGAACTGAATCATTGGGGCGCATGTCACTGTCGGCGGAGCCAATCCCGGCGGGCAGTTGAGACTGTTTCGTTGGACTCGACGTACCCTTCTGACGTCATAACACCTATCTTGAGAAGTAAAATATCTCTCAAGGTGTCACGCAGCTTGGCTAGTTATTTGGAAGATGCTCTTGGCGCTGGCATGGAAGACAGTTGGAACATTTACATGGTTGTTTTACATGCCTACTAGTCTAGCGAACACCCCCTTGAATCTCAAGCTCAAGGAATGCTTTCGCGACGCCGGGAAACCTAAATCAAAGCATACTTTATACTTTGTACATTCAAATCCGTACCATCGTAACAACTTTATCGTCGTTATTTGTCCTTGACATTTCTGTTTATCATTCCTGACCGCCCCTCTCTTAGGAAACGGCTCCAGCATGGTCTTGAACAACTCGTCCGAATCTTGGCCTAGGGGGCTGGCCATAGCGAGCGCCTCTTTCGCGTCCACAGGAGGATAGATCAGTGTCTGGTTTATGTACGTTTTGATTCTCTTCGCAAAGTCTCCATGCAGTTTGACCTTCCTTTCCCATCCCTCGCCAATGACTGCCCCCATGAACCCAGGTCGAGACAGCAGTTGTATGCAGCCTGCGAATACTCCATCATCGGTTCTCCAAGCAGCGCTGCAGCGGCGTTATGCCCAGACACTCGACCAAGTTGGAGTGCATGCTGACAGGACATGAGCGCATGGTGGCCGCTCGAATCTGTGATGGCGTAGGCGGCGTCACCTGTCGCAAAAATGTCCTTGTTCGTCGAGGTCTGCAGATACGTGTCGACATGCAAGCGACCGAGAGAGTCTCTGGGTCCCGCTATCTGCTGCACAAGAGGGGATGCTCTCATTCCGGCAGTCCAGATCACTGTGTTTGTCTCGATGCGCTCGCCAGAGGCAAGGATAACTCCCTCCCCGTCAACTGTTGAGACTGCAGATCCAAGTTTGACTTCGATGTGCAGCTCCTCCAAGGCTTGTTGGATGATTGGGCGAGGTCCGGGTCCGAGTTCCGGGCCAACTTCTTGGGCACCATCCACCAGAACGATGCGTGTCTTATCAATGTGGCCAAGACGCTTCGGAAGCTCCGTTGCGAGTTCGATGCCCGTGAAGCCGGCCCCGCAAACGACAATGGTGTCGCGGGCTGCGCTCTGTTGATACGACGCAAGGCTTTCGAGATGACGCTCCAATCCGGCAGCAGCATCTAGCGTGTCGATATCGAATGCATGCTGGTCAAGTCCGGTGACACTTCGAGGTTTGTTGAGACGACTTCCCGTTGCGATAATGAGGCGGCGGTAGTTGACTGTAATACTTTCTCCCGTCGGCGTGTGGACCTGCACTCTTTGTCGGATGCTGTCCATCGATTCGGCAGTGCCCTGGACGAAGTCGACGCCAGCAGATTGGAATAGTGTCGTCAATGGATGGATCATGTTGGCAGCATTGCTCTCATAAAGCCTTGGCCGTATCACCAATGCCGGCTCTGGCGAAATGACAATAACTTTGATTTCGTGGGTCTTGTTTTTGAGGTTGATGAGACGAGTTGCTGAGAGGGCACTCCACACTCCTGCAAACCCAGCTCCAATGATGACAACTGAGGTCGACATTATAAAGATTGTTGAGTACTTAGTAGTCAATATGTGGCAAACAGAAGATGAAACTAGTAAGCTACGAACAGCTGATGCTATCATATTTCGAGAGTTCGACTTTTATAACGGCTTGAGATATCCGGACACCCTAAAGGGTCTTGGAATAGCAATTCCGAGTGTTTCACCCGCTAGTTCTCTTGGGCTCAGGACTGTGCCACACATAGTGCTATGTAAGGAACGGCTACTCGGGCGCCTTTGTCATCATCACGGGCTCTCGTCGAATACCCGCGCCGCTATGCCGGATCCAGTAACCGGATACCCGGATACCCGCGTCCCCGCTGATCTCTTGCGCCAAACCCGCCAATTGCCAGAGTTCGACATGGGCCCTAACACGAATCATGCCATGGATTCGACCAACACTCCGACGCGCCAGACGAGGGGAGGGACGCGATCCTCTCTCGCATGTTTGCCGTGTCGATCCAAGCACTTGAAGTGCGACGGCAAGCGGCCCCAATGCAGCAGATGTATTGAGTTCGAGAAGCAATGCGACTTTGCTCCATCGCGAAGAGGAGGGTTAGACCGGGCGGCTTTGGCGGAGAGACGTAAAAGGCTTGCCGCCGAAGTCCCTGAGTCTGTTTCGAATGAAACCTCGACACCTCGCTCAGAGCAACTTGGTCAACATCAATCGGGAGATGTCCCAACCCAAGTACAAGGCTGGGAGTTATTGGACGACTTCAATTTACTTGACGGGGCAATTCTCGGGGATGATTCAGTGCAGTCGACTTCAAAGTCATCGCCTCACAGTCATGCTGGAGACGTCGAGATGGACCCTTTGATCATGTCCTACTACAAGAGCTTTCACAAACTGCATCCATTCCTGCTACCACGAGCCGCCTTCCTCCGACTCATCAAGGACCCTCCCCCAACACTCAACTTCGGTCCACTGATAGCAGTGATGCGTCTAATCGGCAACATATATGCGACGCAAGAGTGGTCTATCTCACTCCAGGACCAGGCGGAACAAGGCTTGCTGCAATTATCCCCAAATAGTCCAGTACTGGTTCAGTATCGTTTGCTTTTTTCCGTTGCCTTATTTTGGAATAACTTCAAAGATGAAGCGAAACATCATATGGACTGCGCCACAAAGGTTGCGGAACGTCTTGGGATGCACATATCTGACTTCCCAAGGCAGTATAGTGCCGGCGAACCAGTTCTAGAGGAGTCGTGGAGACGGACTTGGTGGATGCTGTTCATCATCGATGCATACTATGCCGGGACCTTGGGAACCATGAACTTCAGAGTCGGAAACATCGAGGCGACAGTCGAGCTTCCTTGCGAGGAGAGCGAATATGAGTCAGAGGTCAGCAAATGCGGTCACCCATAAAAGCGTTTGCGGCGGAAAGCTAACTTGAATTAGACCATTCCTCTACCAAAAACTTTGGAAGACTTCGACTCCAGAGAGTTCGCTCCTGAAAGTGTCACTTTCTCATCCTTCGCGTACCTCATCAGCGCGGTGCGTTGTGCGGCGTTAGCGATATCTACCGTACCTAAGGTCGCCTCAAAGGAAGACTCCGCACAAGTGATTCATTCAGCCGACTCAATCATCGACGCGTGGTCTCTACTCCTCCCGAAAGAGCGTAGGAATGTCATGTCAAAAACAGGACAGGTTGATGAGCTCATGTTTCAAGCGCATCTTCTCATCGGAGTGTAAGATACTCTTCTACTCCCTTCATCGCGATGGTCTACTGACATTAGATGCAGAGCGAGCATTGGCCTTCATAGGCCTCTATCTGATCTGAGGTTTAATCCTGTGGAGGATGTGTCAAGCTGTGCCCGAGAGCCACCTGTCGATAACCCGTCGTCAGACTTGATTAACGTGCACACTGTAAGGGTACTTCGAGCAGTCGAGTCGCAAATCCGTCTGCTGGCTTTGCCATCCAGACCATTCCATCACACCCCTTTCACGACCTGCATGGTCAGCGAGGGGACACTTGCGCTGCTTTCAGCTTGCAACTTCTTACTGCAAGGCAAGCAGCTAGCAATCGCGAGAGACCAAATTCGACTAACCATTGGATGTCTGAAAGCTTTGGGAGAATTTTGGCCGAGGACCGCTAAGAACGTGTCGGAGATACAGACCATTGCCCGCCATGTCCTTGGTTTGAAAGCGAAAACTACCAGTAGCCATAGCACACAGAATCCGAGTGATACAGCCAATCAGCCAGGCAGGAGGGTTGATATAGCGTTGGGACACCACGGCTCAAACAATGAAAGTGGTATACTAACTTCTCTTGGGCCTATGGAGGATGTCTGCGGATGGTATAATCTGTCGGATTTCGGTTCAGATCTCGCGCAATGGCCCGAGCATGAAACATAAATCCATAGATGCACCTCTCATTCACGACATAGTTTCTAGGTGGTTTTTGGACGGGCTGGGAATTCCTGAAGTCGAGTGTGAGACCACCGAACGATACATGCTTGGTTTGGGCTGGATGTGAAGGTCTTCCGGGCTTCATTATGTAGACGCACACATGCGGTTCAATCGACTTATAAGTTGAATCGTATCAATGCAAATCATTTTCCAACGCATTATTTGAAAACGGCTACGGAAGCCTTTTATTTACTCAACATTAATCAAGGAGAATACAAAGTTTGATTTTCCATCCCATGTATATCCACTCTCGTCACTGACATCTTTTGCACACTTGCTGCCTTGCCAACAGATGTAATGAAGATCCGGTCTCAAAATCTCGCTGTACCCCTCCTTGTCTCCAACAGTTCCGTCTATTTGTGTTGTTGGCCATTTCAACAGCTGTTGATGGCGCCGTATCTGTTGTGCGTAGCATGCCAGTATGAAGACTTGATCATGCCACTGGAGCAGACAATGGTCGTGGCGAAGTACATGTAAACCTCGTTTCCTCCGAATGGTGCTCCGCAGCCGTTTGGCTTCTGAACGGTGCAACCGGGCCAGCGCTTCAGGTTCTCCCACAGCAGGTGGCACACAGCCGGAGGGTCATCGACGTCGCTGATCTTGATCTCCCAGAACCTGGTTGCCGCGTTTTGAGACATTGAGCATCCGGCTTCAGCTGAGGCGCTACCGATCAGACTGGAGATGGCAACGGCACTGGCGGTAAGAATGGCGGAGATCTTCATAGTGCCGAACTCGAACTTTGAAGTTGATGACTGGATGCTAAGTGCAAATGAGTGAAGTGCCGCGCAGGAGCAGATTTCAAAGATCTTGGTTGCGACTGAGAGACTGAAGAGGGATGACCTCGGGTCACTAAGTATTGAGGTTATGTGATGAGGGCGGTGAATGGTGATTCATTCGGGTCGAAAATATCGATGAAACGAAATGCATTTATACGTTGGGACTGCCATCTAGACACCCCAGGTTTCTCAGAGTTTTAACTGTTTGTTAACAAAGTGTGCTGATGCTTCCCCCTATCCAAAGGGAGAAGGTGGCGGGAGACGCAGGAGATGGACTTGAGAGAGACGCCCTCGCCATGCTGCGAGATTGCCATCCGTACGACAGCTATCGCCCCCGGATATAAAAATCCCAAGCCTCGCACAAGATGAACGTTTTCGGTTTGGAGGTTTGTTCACATTCTTGGCCTACCGTTTCCTGGCCGTGTTGCCGTTGGTAATACCCTGCATCAGTCCAGGGTATGTCCGATGCGGCGATGCCCCCCTTTCTTGCTTGTGGTACATACCTCATAGGTATTGGGCGTTTCCAACTGCAGGCCTGTAACACAATGGGCCGATTCCCCTCATGCAACTTGGACTTAACCAAACTACGCACGGAACTACTCTCCGTTCAACAAGCAAACAAGGCCAAGATGTCTCACAGATGTTCCGCGTCCGTTATGGTTTGGCGGAGTACATAGAACAATCTGCCCTGGTTTGCAAACGCCATATGGAACTCCACGTGATGGTTTGCCCCTGGCTAGGTTCTTCTTTCAGCTGGTTCAATTCCGATTATCATGGGCCCCGGATTGTCTTGCGGACTCCGCGATTTATCATGCCCGACAGTTTTCCCGGCTTTGTTAACCACATGCAATGGACAATAAAAGATTATCTCAACAGCAGCTGATGGTGATCTTTTCCGCATTCAAGGTAATTACAGATTTTAGCAGGAAATAGGGTGGAATCGTTTTCGGAAAGTTGATATCCACCAAAGGATCGAGCTGAAGCCTCCGACCATGGGTTGGGGACTCCAGTAATCATCATCCACCTCGGATCGAAGCGATTGTTTTCGCGAAGCAAATCCATCAGTTATATTTCGGAAGCTCAGTTATAGCTGCTCTGATTGCAATATTTGGCTGCTAGTCATGGTATGGATTCGCTACGTTGGATGCCATTGAGGTGCAGATTAAATTCGCAGTAGATCCTAAATCTTACTCGTAAATCGATTGCATGCAATGCTCCTCCCGCAGCGACCGAATGAATTGTCGGAGGCGGCTCCGAGCCCGGGTCGGAAGCTGACTGACAGCCCCCTCTCATCAAGCTTACCCAATGTCAACCAGGGGGCTGGTGAGTCCCACCGACTCCCACGTCCGGCGGACTTCAAACGGAAACTCTATTTAATTGAGATTCAACTTGTTGCCACCCAGCTCCTGTCTTTATGAACTGCATACGCATGGCGGGACACGTATGCATGCAAATGTGCTGGCAACCCTCATCAAGGAGCTTCTGTGCCGGCGCCGGCGTCTGTGCCCGCAATTTGTCAATCTCGCTACATGACTTTCACCATCTCGCCAATCTAAGACCAGTACAAAAACATAAGGTGCTGACGATGGAGATAGGCGCTTTGAAACTCAAAAGTTTTGTTCTTGCAGTTCTCTCCAGGGTTGTCATCTCACAGGCACGGAGATAGCCGTCAACGGTATCCTCGTGACCGATCAGGGTTGCCCGTGGAAACCTTGCAAGTCACAGCCCTCTCGAAAGGATCGCTTTCTGCATCCCTTGAGCTCGACTTCGCCGCAATGAAAGCTAACTAGCCTTCTTTCAGGCTGCCAATGTCTGATATCGCTTTCGGGTTGATACAGGTAATTTTTCCCAGCTTTGCAGGGCACATCGATCGCTGCTTTTGCGTCGCCTTTTCTCTGTCAGGCGCCCACATGCTGGCCACAGAGTTTGTAGATAGTCAAGTTTCCGTCAATTCGCGCCGCCAAGAAGAAGAAACTAGTAGCCCTATCAGAAAGTTAATGAACGATACACGACGTATTGCGTGAGATTGTGAAAGTCTGGCGGCTAAATCGCAAAATTCATGAGATGAACGTCGGTTCGATGATAATTGGATTACCCCTGCTTGCCATGTGGTTGCCGCAGACAATGGGGGTCGTTCTGCCCGATTCTTTACATAAGGCGATGGTGGCTGACTCGTGAGGGCGCTGTTTTGTTCCTTTTCAAGAGGGAGAAAACTTCCCCCACGCGGAGACAAGAAGTAACCGCACTCCACCAAATTCAGTGACAATGACGTGACGATCCTTGCCGCCTTCTACCATTGTTCTGGAATCTAAGCAGTTTGTAAGGATATCACGAGTTCCAGTAAACATGTCAATAACTTTCAGCAGGCAAAACCCTCCATCATGGAAACCTTATTGTCCGAAAGTCCGTTCGCCCTCCGCAAAATACGACGACCAACTAAACCAAGGGCAGCATTTCTTCTGCGGCTCGTTTCAAATGTCGGCGAAATCCTACTAAACAGAGCCGTAAATCGGCTGTTCTCTCCACCAAGGCCACTTGTTCTCGCGAACTAGGTTTGTACAACGGTCCGCTCCACTAATCAAACTTTATTTCATCGCGTGGCCCCTCGGACTATGGACTTTTTTCTCCCTCGAGACCCCCTTTTCCCATCACATTGGATCGCTTGGGACCATCCGCTGCCTTCGTCCACCGATTTTGGAAAGTCTTTTGAAGCGATGTAGCATCGAAACAACCACAGTGACCAACGGCAGAGTGTCAAACGTCTGCATGTTCATGTTTCCTCTGGCCCCCACACACCGCCGCGCGCACCGGCAGCTGGGGTAGGCTGGTCTGCAGGCACAATGCCGAAGGTGAAATCGGACCCCCTAGAGGGCTAATTGCACACATTCGGCTAGTCGCCCGACGCCGAACGATCCGAATCCCTGGCGGAACCGGCTTCCAAGCACGAATTTTGTGAATTCTTGGCAGGGTCTGCGTCTTGGCATCTCTCAATGCCCTCATCTCTGGGCCGTTTTTGAGTTCGGCGCATCTAGGACATGGGGAGGCTTAGGAACCACTAGCACTGCCGACCTGCCACTTTTTGAGCTTGAATGATGATGATTGGCATGGATTTCCCGGTATCCCGTACGCCATCCCGCCGCACAAAGTGGCTGCGCCCGTTAGGCTCTCCCTGTCAGACATGCCCAATCCTACCCCGCGGACATCGAGCGGACATCGCTTATTAGACGTTTGCCGCTCGCGGCTATTAGTAAAACATCTCTTTCATCCAAGACTTGCATCGTGAAGCAGGATGCTCACCCAAAACACTCTTTTTACAATACGGACTTGCGTGGAGGAAGGATTTCTCATGGACCGAGTCGGCGGGCACGACCTCACGATAATCTAATACCGATACCACTCAACACATCAGCTGCTCGACCATGTACAGCCACAACCCAACCCTCGCACCTTTACCGACTGTGCTCCAGCACGGACTCAGGGCCGTCACCGCCCTCGCCTTCCTCTCGCTTGTATCATCGTTTGCTCTGTTCGTCTATCTCAGTGGGAGGTTGGTTGCCTGGTACGTCAGGTCGAATCCGAAGAATCCGCAGAGAGCAGCCGAGAACGGGACCAGGGGTGCTCTTCCCTGCGAGGTTGGCGCACAGTACTTCGGAAAGGCGGACCAGGGAAGGAAAGCACCGAACCAGGCCCTCGTTCTTGTCATCAACGTTCTCTTTGCGGACGTGCTGCAAGCCTGCGCGTTTTTCCTGAACATCGTTTGGGTCATAGAGGACCGGATCACGGATGAGTCGCCGGCATGCTGGGCCCAAGGGTGGTTCATCTCTACGGGTGATCTGTCATCCCTCACGTTCCTGACGGCCATCGCTGTTCATACCTACATCACTCTCATTTTGGGGCGCAAAGTCCCGACAAAAGTTTTCTATGCTGTTATTTCCTTTTTATGGTTTGCCGTTTTGTTCTTGTCGGTTTTGGGCGTTATCATAACGAACAATGGGAAGGGGGTGGGTGGCTTCTACGTCCGTGATACTGCTTGGGTAAGTTATTTGTTCCTATCTCCGATAGTATAACCGCTGGCTAACGTTGCAAAAATAGTGTTGGATCAGTTCTGCATACGAGCCCATGCGTTTCTACCTTCATTATCTTTGGATGGTCATCTTGCAAGTTGTGGGAACTGTTTCCTGGGTTCTTGTTTTCGTGCACTTTTACCGAAGGGCAAAGGCACTCAAGCTGTCGAAAAAGTCCGGCGAAGAAAGCAGCTCCAACAACAGCGTCCTCAGTCCTACGGGCGTTGCCCCGCGAACGTCTGAGGGCGTCAAGTCGGAGGTCCACAAGCGAATTCTCTTCTTACTATACCCCCTGATTTTTCTCATTTGTACGACGCCGTTGGCAGTTGGCCGCATGATGGGAACCCGCGGTGTAAAACTCTCCCCGGAATATCTTTGCTTCGCTGGAGCCATGATTACCTCCAACGGTTGGCTCGACGTCATTCTCTTTTCGACAACCCGACGAGCCATCCTCTTCCATACATCTCCCGACGACCAAAACCTGGGAATCGAAACATTCAACCTGACACCTCTCGGTCAGCAGTTTGGACACAGAGTGTGGATCACTTCGGGATCTAAAAAGAAGCAGAACGAAAGGAAGAATGGTGTATTCCGCAAACCATCGCGGTGTCCAAGACGGGGGTCTGCGGGGAGTCATGACCGGAGTGAGAGTATGACGTCCCTACATAACCGTGATCTTGCGGGACTCAAAGGCATTCAGATGGAAACTGTCACTCGCGTCTTTGTGGAAGTCGAGTCTCCATCTGAGGACAACGGCTACCCTTCTCGTAGTCTGGCTTCGATGCCATCTGCCGAGAGTGTTGGTCCAAGGGTGCCTCAAAGCATCGACATCGTAAGATGAATTAGACAAAGAGAAGAGAAAATATGGCAAAGTTTTCAAGTTATACGACTTCAGAGTTCTGTGGCGCTGAAGCCCCTTCAATAATCTGTCGGCTGAGTCCACCGCTTCGTTATGTGAAAGACAGGCGCTAGTGATGACCGGCGTGACTCATTTGCCGGTATGGATAGTCTTACTTGGCAGCTGTGCGGACTGCCCCATGTTGCTGGACTACATGAAGACTCGATCAACCATGCAAAGTATTTCCATCAATCGGAGATAGTTTCCCAACTCACCAACTCCCTTATTATCACAAGTCTTGAAGGAAAATCATGAGCTTAACCTCCAATGCTGGCCATGACGGCCCTCGCAGTCATGCACCTTACCGCCAAATTCGGGCGCACTATGATGATGAGACTATCACAGTCTACCAGGCCTATACCTCATCCATTGCAACGGCAGCTATCGATGTTCAGCGACTAGATGCCTCGCCAAGCTTCAAGCTCACCAGAATGACCTGGATCAAGCCCAGCTGGACTTGGATGCTATATCGTGCTGGATACTCTTACAAAGACCCTGGCCAAGAGCGCATTCTGGCTTTGAAGATTCCACGCGAATATTTCATCGGACTCCTTCGCAAAGGAACGTTATCACACGCTGCAGTTGCGCAGGACGGCGAGAAGGTTCGCATCCAATGGGATCCAGAACGCTCGGTGCGACTGGATAAGCTGCCATATCGAAGCATTCAAATCGGAATTCCTGTGGGAATTTGCAAGACTTGGGTCAAAGAAGGAATCGTGGGGATTGAAGATGTCACTGGTCGTGCGAGGGAATTGAAGAGAGTCTTGGACGAAGACCCGGCAATTTCGAATAGAGAGCTGGCCGAATTGGGATTAATGCCATCAGAAGAGGAGTTTATTGTACCTGGCGATGTGCAAGAAATATTGGAGATGACCCCGGGCCCCCCATGTACATAACAGTTGTAATAACTGAAGGGTTCTTCCGCAATGGCCAGTCAAGAATTGAGTAAGACTTCGTCAATCTTATCGCGGTGCAACTGATGCGATTGGCCGCGCGGCATATCACGACGATACTGGTTGGCCACCATGATACTGCCAGGTAATCAAATGGTACTACCGTTTGGTCAAGAGGTTTCTGCTGTTGATTGATGGCTACGACACTACCATGATGCCAAATGTCCAAAGTTGGTTCCGAAAAGTACCTGCTACCGTTCCCCCCAACCCGAGGGGAGGTTATTTTTCCCTCAAGCAGCTTTCCATCAGGTGGTAACATTAAGGCTACACAACAGGAGATAGTGATCCCGATGCCCCACATCGGAATCTTTTCCTGTGCCCTTTATGTCAGACGGACGGGGCCTGAGGGGTCATGCTGCAGCTAAGTTGGATGACGTTGATCGCCGTAAGCAATGCTTTGTTGGGTTCGGCGAGGAGTCAGCAAGGTTTGCCGCAGTGATTTCCACCTCTTTCTTCCATTGTAGATATTGTTTTGCACCAGGAATGTTAATAGGCGCAGTGCGTACCTTCAAAGTCCAACTGTAGTTGCCAACAGCGGCTGGGGTCGCTGAGAACAATACATGATGGCACGGAAAGGAAGCCAGAAAGTAAGGACTGGGTGTTTGACGTGCAAGTAAGTATCGGTGGTTTTGTCATTTCAAACGCTAAGAGTCGTACGCAGATTTCGAAAGATCAAATGCGACGAAAGAAAGCCAGACTGTCTGAAGTGCGCTGCCAGTGGACGCCCATGTGACGGGTATGCTGTGCCGAGGAACGAGCTCCGGCGGCACCAGCTCCAGCCTATCCAAATATTTCCAGATAACAGAATGCGAGCCGAGAACCGCGCAATTCAGTTCTTCTCTGAGATGGTCGGACCGAACTTATCAGGGCCAACAGAACCGTACTTTTGGACGCACCTTGTGCTTCAATCAAGCACGTGCGAGCCGGCGGTCAGGCACTCCCTCATTGCGATCAGCTCACTCTACGAAGATATCAGCAAAGCCAGAACCAATGGGACTTCTTCGAAAGTCAACCAGCTTCATCTTAATAGTCTGGCTCTGACGCACTACAATGCGGCGATTAAGGAACTCATAATTATCAAAGATCAGGGGCTGGTTCTGTTGATTTGTGTTCTCTTCATCTGCATTGAGCTGTTGCAGTTAGACAGAGACGCTGCTCTTCGACATTACAGACACGGAAACTCTATTCTTGATTTATTTGATCCGCAAGACACATCCTGGGTTTGCGAGTGGCTGAGGCCGCAGTTCCACCGGCTGCAGACCTTGCACCACTTCTTCGGCGATAGATTTGAGTCTTTTGGCCAGCATGACACGTTGAGAAAGACACCAATCTTCTTCTCAACTCTTAAGTACGCGGAAGAGACTATGGACAAAATTTTCAATCATTCGTTTCAACTTGTGCGCCGTGGCGTTAACTACCGTGCTGGTGGTCAGCAACTCGAGCAGCCTGGTCCAGATCTTCTGGAAGAGCAAAGAAGTCTAAGGCATCTACTCAATGTCTGGTACACCGTATTCAACAATCTTGAAGCGAGATCAACTTGTCGACCAATGTCTATTACGGCAGTTCAGCGCGCCTATTTGCTATCCAAATACAGACTTTGCCGTATTTGGACGGCCATGGTTTTCAGCCCTTCCGAGATGGACTACGACAAATACGAGGACGAGTACCGACGAATGGTCGAGGACCTAGGGCAAGCGGCCGATGAGCGCACAAGGGGTAGGAGCCGCAACAATTTTGAATTCGAAATGGGATTCTTAGTTCCTATCTTCTTCATGACTATCAAATGTCGATACCTTGATTTGCGCGTTCGGGCATTGCATTACCTAAAGGTCCTTGCAGCGCCCCGGGAGGCCTTGTGGGAGAAAGACGGAATGTATGCCCTTGCGCGCCGAATCATCGAGATCGAACACGGGTTACTTCTGGATACAGACGGGAAGCCATTAGCCACCCTTGGCGCAACATGCTGGGGACTGCCCCCGAACGAGAAGAGGGTTGTACATGTTGTTACCGGGTGGACGGGAGAACGTTCGAATGACTTTTGTGGGCATCACGTACAAGGGCGTAACGTTGTTTTTGTCTTCAAGAGCCCTGATGATGGCGTTTTTTTCCAGCCCGACGTCCTTGGTGAAGAGCCTGTTCTTCTGCCAGCGTGGAGCCCAGAGACAACGAAGAGAGAAGTGTTGGCACGAGGAGCCCGGATTTAGAGGGATGCTGCTCATCATGACTTTTGATCTAATTATTAGAGATAACAACTGTTGGGCACGGGCACAGGTATAGGCTACTTAAACGTCATGCCCAGATCATTCGCCCCGGTTAGGAACGAAAGGTGTCCGGAGATTTGCTGCGTCTCCGACAGCGGGGCCGGCCTGCCGGAGTTTAGTGCCTAATCCGTGGGTGCCTTACCTCCGGCTGGTGCTCGGCACGAATGCCATGCATGCGCACTGAGTCACTCACCGAACGCATGTTCCTAAGCAATGATAGGGATCTCCCCGTCCAAGCAGGGCGTTCCGGTGGAACTTGCGGCTGGGGAGTGTCTTTCCACCGGGCACTAGATGCTTTCAGCGTCCACTTCCACCCCGGGACTGGAAATGAGGCTGCTGAACGGGTATTTGCATATGCGCGCCCGTAGTTTATGTCTGAGGTGTCATCGGCCCCAACAAGCTTTAGTTAGAAAGATAGTCCCGAAAATGGCATTTGTAACCGCTCGAGATAACTCTATCGCGTCGGCAAAGTTTCTTTTAACCGAAGCCTGCGTCGGCTCTGAGGGGTCCAGAACTCAATCTTGAGGCTCCGGGGCGTTCCCCGAATGCACCACACATATGCTACTATTGTGTCGCACCGCATCGAAGGGCACACCGCTTGACAACAAACACGTGTATCGATGGACAGGTTATGGCATTGTCTTCATGAGGAAAATTGTTGTTGCATCATGTGGTTGCTGGAGTTGCCCACCATGGAAAGAAATCGCCTGCAAAGTATCCGGGCTTTGTGAGACATTGCATTCAACCCTGCCACAGGGTCGGTCGGGTTGTGGGTCGCGTCAGCTAGTTGCAGCAGCCCGTGGATCTTGTTGAATTGCTAGTTTGAACTGCAGGCGATTCAGGGTATTCTGTCTGGTTCTATTTCACAGTAGGTCAAGCCCACTCTCATTAAGAAGGGTTCTCAATGACACCGGTGCGTGCTAGACGCGCTGCTCGATCGTCCCGTGAACATCAGTTGCGCTGGAAACTCAACTGAACACGCGATGACGTTAGTGGGAATAAAGCAGCTGGCCTTCGGAAATAGACGACCCCGAGCTCAACGGTTGTTGATGGATCGCATCTAGTTTACCTTCTCATTGGCTGAAAGCTCCGGAACGCCTACACCATTGAGTCATGGGAAGATCTGTCTGTCTTAACCCCGTGTCGTGCTTCCGACGGCTTCAGATGAAAGCACGAAATCGAGGGCTCGAAGCGGGATCGCCACCACGCTAAAAGAGCGGTCGAGACGGTGCTCTATGTCCCTCAAGCCCTTTGCCCCCACCTGCGCAGAGGAATATGGATTCCGCCGACCAGGTGCCATGGCAAAAAGACCCTAGGCCCTTTCCGTATTAATAATGGCTCTCGCTGACTGTCTTGGATGCACATGCAAGCTCCCGCCGGCTAGGCGGTGCACATTGTTGGGCTGTATGTCATCACCTGCAGTGTGCGTGGGGTTTTACCCCGAGATAAGGGTTGCATTTCGGCTCCATCGAATCTGTTGTTTGGTCAGACATCTGTTCCACGGAGCTTTCTGGGATGCACTTTTTTTCACAGGTTTCGTCTCCACCGCCATGCACAAACAACTGCTGCCCGACACGAGGCACAACTGATGCCATCCCCTTTCTAGTAAATCCGACAAACTCTTGACTTACGGGGAATATGAATTCCCCCCAAACACTCCGGTGGAGATGACAAATGATACTGCCGTGGAGTGTATGCCGGCCGCGGGTACCCTAATGGCAACGGCGCCATCCCGTGTTTAGTGTGAGAGTGGAGCAAACCTTGGTCTCAATGACTTGACTTAACACGCACTGCTCTCCTCGTCATTAGTCGTTGCATGTCGTTGTCATACTTTCTCGTCTCTTGGACCATTTGCTTTGGCCCAACCATAATTCATCGACAGCTATCGAGTTCACTCAACTGTCGCAGCTTCTCTTTCAACTACCCCATAGACAAAATTGATACAGTTCTTTGCGCTAGATACCCTTCCTACTTTTGTTATCCTACCATAGACTTTCGGCATCATGACCGGTCCGTTGAGGCCCGAAGAAGACGGCCGCTGGGGTGAGAATGCGGCCGGAGAGATCTCCATTAACGCCGCGCTCGATGAGTTCCACGACCTCGAGAAGGAGCTTTCGACATTACAGCACCGTCACTCCATGGCCGCACACCATTCACAACCCAAAACTCACGAACGCGATGCAGGAGGTGAGAGCGACTCAACTATCGCGCCAACCGAGTCCGGCGAGAACTCGTTCGACCTCCCGGACTTTCTCAGGCGGGGGATCATGGACATGCGCACACCAACAGGCGGACCAACGAAGAAGCTCGGGGTTTCGTTCAAGGACTTGACGGTAAAAGGAATCGAGTCATCGACCAAGCAGGCCGTCACGTTCCCTCGGGATCTTCTCAATACGTTTGGTCCCGACTTCTACCACTTCATCACCGGCTTCTTCCCGAAACTCAAAATCCGCAAAGAGCCTACCGTCGATCTCATTCGGAACATGACTGGGACAGTGAGACACGGCGAGATCATGCTAGTTCTGGGTCGGCCGGGTTCTGGATGTTCGACCTTTCTCAAGGCCATCGCCAATCACCGAGACGAGTACGCCAAGGTCGACGGAGAGGTGTACTACGGCGCGATCCCGGCAGAGGATCAGTTGCGACTTTTTAGAGGAGAGGTGGTCTACTGTGAGGAGGATG